CCCACCATTAAGTGCTATTCAAAGTCATAGTGGTCCATCAGTAGATATGGCTATTTTTGCTCTACATTTAACAACAGTATCATCTTTAGCTGGTGCAATTAACTTTATTGTAACAGCATTAAATATGCGTACTTTAGGTATGCGTATGTTAGATTTACCATTATTTGTATGATCAATTATTATTACAGCTGTATTATTATTATTATCATTACCAGTATTATCTGTAGGTATTACATTATTATTAATGGATCGTAACTTCAACACAGCCTTTTATGAAGTAGCTGGTGGAGGTGATCCTGTGTTATACCAACATTTATTCTGATTCTTTGGTCAAGGATGGCCTAACTATAATGTAAATTATAGTCGTAATTGTGCTATATGCTGGAACATCTGTATATTATATACTATCCTTTTAGTTACTAATATAGTAAATCTTTATAATTTATTAATAAAATATAATAATATTAATAATAATAAAGTTTATAAAGTGACAATACTATCAGGAAATATGATCAATCAGCAGGTAACCAAATGTAGACGATATATGTCTTACAAAGTAGGAACCTCAGAGACTATACGCACAACATCCTTAATAAATAATAAAAATAAATATTTTAATGAATGATTAGCAGGTATTATTGATGCTAATGGTAATTTATTAGTGTCAAAATCAAATAATATTACATTAGATATTATTATACCATTAGTTGATAATAAAACTTTAATACTTATTAAAAATAAGTATGGAGGTTCAATTAAAGTTAAATCAGGTTCATATTCTATACGTTATAGATTACATGATATTAAAGGTATTATAACTTTAATTAATGATATTAATGGTAACATTAGATTAGGATCTCGATTAAAACAATTGCATAATGTATGTAGTTTATTAAATATATCAATTATTATACCTAAACTTTTAACTAAGGATAATGGTTGATTTATAGGTTATTTTGATGCTAATGGTACAATTAATTATTCTATAAATAATAATATACCTGAATTAAATATTACCATTACTAATAATTTATTATATAATTTACAACCATATTTTGATAATTTTGGTGGTAATTTATATTATGATAAAGGTAATAATGGTTATTATAAATGAAATATAAATGGTAAAGAAATTAATGAAATTTGATATAATCAATATGTTAAATATAATTCTTCTATGACTATTAAGTCTAATAAATTATTATTAATTCCTGAATTTTATCATTTAGTTAATTTACAAGCTTATAATGCACCTAAAGGTAGTATATTATATAATACTTGAAAATCATTTATTATTAAATGAAGTTAAATATATTTATATATATTTATATTTTTATTTTAATAGCTTATTTTATTAAGGATGAATATATAGTCCGGTAGATGTTTAGTTAAACATGCTACCACATCCTGAAGTACAAGAGATGCCGGTTTTACCGAATATAAGCTTCATAACATTGCTATATGCTGGAATAACTATAAAACATATAATTACTCCTTTCAATTTATTATTAATAATTATGAACATAGTAACAATATTATATGTATGAGTCAATCAGCAGGTAACCAAATGTAAACATAATGTGTTTAACGTAGTAGAAACCTCAGAGACTTTACGCAATGATACTATAAATGTAATTTATACACCTTCAATTAAATATAATATAATAACAAAACGTTATTTAAGTACATTAATTAATAATAATTTAGTATCAAATCATGTACCTAAACATACTAAACCAATAAATGATAATGATTTAGGTTATTATTTAGCTGGTCTTATTGATGGTGATGGTAATATTGGTAAAGGAATTATTAAAATTACTTATCATATTAATGATGCTCCAGCTGCATATTGACTTAAAAGTCAAATTGGATACGGGTCAATTTTAAAAATTAAAGATAAACAAGCTTTAACATATAATATTACTCATAGTGAAGGTTTAATAAAAGTATTAAGTTTAATTAATGGTAAGTTAAGATTAGAATCTAAATATAATCAAGTAATTAATAACTTATTAATTAATACATTAGTACGTAATATACCAACTAAAATTTGTAAAACTTTTTATGAAAATAATAATGAGTTTACTTATGACACATCAATAGATTTTAATAATTATTGATTAGTTGGATTTATTGATGCTGATGGAGGATTTCAAATTAAATTAGTAAATCGAAATTCAAAAATTGAATGTCGACTTAAATTACAAATTAGTCAAAAAGATCCTAAATTATTAGAAGATATTAGATTATTTATTGCTAATATAGATTTACCAGGTAATAATAGTATTAAAGGTTGTTATATTGGTACAAGAGTGCATAAAAATATTAATAATGAAGATATTATTACTTATTATTTTGAAACAACAGCTTTTAATATGATAAAAAATGTTATTAATTATTTAGATAAATATCATATGTTATCATATAAATATAGAAATTATTTATATATTAGAAAAGCTTATCTAATTGTTCAATCAAGGGATCATTTAACTTCTGAAGGTATAACTAAAATTGTAGCTTTAAAAGAAAAAATGAAATATAAATAAATTACATTTATAGTATAAGATATAGTCCTATCAAGAATATAATCAAGTTCTTGTAGAGTTATAAACTCTAGTTAATTATTATAAAATCTATAATACTAATATATATTATTAGTAGCCTATTTAATCCACCTTTAATCCCCTGATTAATATATATACTTCAAAAATAATATTATTAGGATTTGAGGAGGGTATTGGTGGGCTATATTAACAAAAATTATTGTTATATTATTATCTTACCAGGTTTTGGTATTATTTCACATGTTGTATCAACTGAAACAGGTAAACCTGTTTTTGGTAGTGAAAGTATGATTTATGCTATGAGTGCAATTGGTTTCTTAGGATTCATTGTATATGCACATCATATGTATGTTGTAGGTTTAGATGTTGATACACTAAATATAGTGGTGTCGTTAATAATGGTAACATTATTATTATTATTTGGCTGTATGCTGGAACCTTCATTAAAGATTAAGGTCCACTTACCTATAAAAATTATAACATATAGTTTATTATTATTATATACTATATGAATGGTATTCGGAAAAATCCTTAACTCAGTAATAATTTATTTATTCAATGAACAATCAGCAGGTAATGTTACCTTAATTATTATATGTTTATTAATATATTATACATTAATATATTCTTATTTAAATAATCTATTAAAATATTATATAAATTTATTTTTATATTTTATTAAAGGTTTACCTTTAATTTCTGAACATTTAAATAAATATAATAGACCTGGTGGAACTTATTCTAATGCTTCTTCATATAATATAAAAGATGAAGAAATATTAGGTTATTATTTAGCTGGTTTAATAGAAGGTGATGGATATATTGGTGTTAAAGAAATATCAATTTCAATTGATATTAAAGATATTAAAAATGCTTATTATCTTAAAAAAATAATTGGTTATGGACAAGTTAAACCTTATTCACATACTGATATAGCTATTAGATTAATATTTACTACTAAAGAATCTAGAAAGCGTGTATATGAATTAATTAATGGTAAATTAATAGGTCAATATAAACATAATCAATTAATTAAACATAATTATGCTGAAAGATATAATTTACCACTTAAACCATTAGCTAAATTTAATTTATTAAGTAATCCTTGAATAACAGGATTTATTGATGCTGATGGTTCATTTGGTATTGATATTAGTAAATCAAAAACACATAAATTAGGTTATAATGTTAAATTACATATAAGAATTAAACAAAAATATCCTGATTTATTATATCCAATTATAAATGCATTAGGTGGTAATATTTGTATTTTAAATAAAGATACTGATAAAGAAATTTATCAATATTCATCTACTAATTTTAAATCAGCATATAACGTTATTAATTATTTTGATGTATTTCCTTGTTTACATAATAGTAAATATAATCATTATATTAAATGACGTAAAGTATATTTATATATTCAAGAAGGTAAACATTTAACAATTAAAGGTTTAAATGATATTAGAGTCATTAAACAGAACCTCAGAGACTAGTGCGCCAAATATCCTATATATATATAATATTATATAGTAATTTACATCAATTTTTAATATAGGATAAAGATACAGTCCGATTAAAATATATATAATTAACTTATGCAACATTAGTTAAATTTATGATCAAAGTATCACTTAAATATTATTTAAGAATAATATATTATATTTATTATAATATCTATATATATTTTTAATTGACACGAGCTTATTTCACAAGTGCAACTATGATTATTGCTGTGCCTACAGGTATTAAGGTATTCTCATGACTGTGGCGTTCCTTCAGTAAGAACTCAAAGGTCTTAAATAACAAGGTTCTAATTACTAATAATAACTTAATTATTACTAAACGTAGTTATAGTACTAATAACAGAATATTTATTGATAATCAAAAATTAATTATGCCAGAAATGCATATTGATAATTTATATGATATTTTTCCAAGAGCTAATAGACATGTTATTAAAGTTAATGATACATGTAAAGAATTAGTATTATATTCTAATTATAATATGGAATCATCTATTAATAAACCTGATTTAACTGATATTTTAAGATATATGTATAATATTCCTAATGATTTATATTATATTCTTGTTGGTATTCTTTTATCAGATGGTACTTTAGCTTATGCATCTAATAAAAATATGAATGCAACTAATATTTCAACAAGAAAAGATCGTAATGGTTTAAAAGCTAAAAATAATATTTTACAGAATAATTGTAGATTTAGATTAAAACAATCTATAGATCATGCTGAATATTTATTATTTGTTGGTAATTTATTAGCTCCTTATTCACCTTCTTATCCTAAAAATATTACATCAACTTTTAAAGGTAAAAAATTTTATGGTTTAAATATTTATACTAGAGCATTACCTTGTTTTAGTATTATAAGACAAAAATTTTATGTAGGAAGAGTTAAAACAATTCCTAATGATATTTATGATCATATTAATTATGCAAGTATTGCTCATATAATTATAGGTGATGGTGCTTATACAAATAAAGGTATTACATTAAATTTACAATGTTTTACTGTACCAGAGTTAATTTTATTAATGAATGTATTTTACATTAAATTTGATATTAAGTGTTCTTTACATAAAAGTAGAGATGCTCATGTTATTTATATTAAAGTAGACTCTGTAAGAAAATTATATCCTCATATTAAAAAATATATTTTACCTAATATGAGATATAAATTTGATTTAAATTTTAATTGAGATAATTAATATATATTATTAATGTTATTATTTTATTATATAATATATGATAGTAATTAGTCCTTAAAATAAGGGGCAAACTCGAGGGAAGCCCTATAAGTACAAAAACTTCACCACAAAATAATTATTTTGTGAGATTATAGTGCAATGTCTATAGGGTAATCGTCGAACTAAATCATGTTCAGGAAACTAATGTGTAAAAGCGTAGAGATTAGACGCCCCAGGTACATCTAAGACATTATATCTAATGATATATCATTACTCTACTTAAACTTATTTATAATAAAATTAAGTATTCAATCTTTAAGAAAGAGGTAGTATTAAGTTTAATATATATATAAAATATATACTTAAGTATATAATGTTATGAGTGCCTAAGGAATAATCCAAAGTTACCAGTAATGGTTTAAGAGGAATTTCTCTTAATAAGTATAGACAACTACTATATATATTATTATATTAATTCATACTATACTTACATAACTAAGTTATAGTTCATATATAATATGAAAAATTAATTAAATAGTATATATAATCTATATGATACATATAAGCCTAACTGTGATCTGAAATGATCGAAGGGCTGAACCTTGTGGAACTATGTACGGTGGATCCGTACGTATGAGTGTACCTATGCATTATACATTAGCATTCTTATTCTTATTCACTGTAGGTGGATTAACTGGTGTAGTATTATCAAATGCTAGTTTAGATGTAGCATTCCATGATAAATTAAAACATTATAAATTAAAAAATCATACTACTGATTATATTAAAAAGTTTTGAGTAGGTTTATTAGATGGTAGTGGAAATATTCAAGTTAACCATCTAAATAATAAATCTCTTCAATATAGATTAATTATTGAACTTAATAATGTTATAGAAAATTATTATATACTTAAATATATTAGTAATATTATAGGAGGTACTGTTATAATAACTAATAATAATAAATATGTAATTTGAATTATTAATGATAAATCTAAATTATTATATTATTTAAAAGTATTAATAAAATATCCTCCATTAACATTTAATAAACAAATACAACTTAAATTCATGTTAGAATGTCTTAAACGTAATGATATCAAATGATATTTAGCTAATAGGAATAATAAATATAACATGAATATAGTAACTTATAATAATAATAATAATACTTTTAATAATGAAGAATCTAATAATTATTTTAATGAATGATTAAGTGGTTTTATTGAAACTAAAGGATATTTCAATTTAAATAAAAATGGTAATCATTCCTTTAGTATTAATCATAATAATGATATAAATTTAATAGAAGCTATTAAAGTTAAATTAAATATTAAAACTAAAATTCATAATATTAAAGGTTCTAATTTATTATTAGAAACATATAATAAGTCTACTTTATTAATTGTAATTAAACAATGTGATAAATATCCATTATTAGGTCATAAGTATACATCATTTCTTAAATTTAAACATGTTTTATTATAAGTGTTTTGTAGTTCATATCACTATGAATGATAATTATAATCATTCGGTTAATAATTACAAATGTTTAATAATTATATAGCTAACGGTAAAACCTTAGCTACATCTAAATATACATCAAAAAAATAAATAAACCCTAATTTATAATATATTATATCAAAATAATTTAATATATTATAATTATTAAACATATTAAATCATAATTGATTAACCGCACAAAGTGGGGTTGGGTTAAAAATATAATTAAGGTAATACCGTGGAAACCAAAGTATTATAATAATTTATAATATTAGTAGATTCTGTAGAGACTAAATGTGATAATTGAAAAGAGAATTAAATTTCACTAAGTAGATAAGTTATAGTCCGATCCTTTAGGTAACTAAGGTTAAATAGACTTATTATGTAATTGGTCATTTCCATTATGTATTATCAATGGGTGCTTTATTCTCATTATTAGCTGGATTCTATCATTGAAGTCCTCGTATTACTGGATTAATGTATAATTCACGTATGGCTATTGCTCATTTCTGATTATTATTCTTAAGTGTTAATGCTGTATTCTTACCACATCATTGATTAGGTATGAATGGTATGCCTCGTCGTATTCCTGATTACCCTGATAGTTTCTATGGTTGAAATGCCGTATCAAGTATTGGTTCAACATCAGCTATTGTATCTTTATTCTGATTTTTATACATTGTATATGATCAATTAGTAAGTAATCGTGTTATTAATCAATATAATGGTTGTGAAGTATCATATAGTGAAAGTAATTTATTACGTGTTAATAGCCATAGAGCTGCTTCATTAGACTTTGTTCTTCAAAGTCCTCCTGCAAATCATTCATTCAACACTCCTGCCGTTCAATCTCTAATTTCATAACATATACTTTTTTTATATATAACATTTACATTTTATTACTTGTTCATTATAATAAGCTGATGTAAGTTAATATTTAGACTAATTCTATTATAATATATTAATAATATAAATATATAATATATAATACTATTTATATATTCATAGCTATATCCTACTTTATATATATATGATTGATAGGAATTACTTATATATAATTATAATATAACTATATGTGTTTATCTTACCTTTACCGGCTCATTATATGAGCCGGTATGATCATATAAATATACTTATATTTTATTAACTATTATAATAATTATACCTTACTAAGTTCATTATATGAACCCAGTTATGAACATTATTACATATATAATTATATAATTAAACGGTTATATTTATATAAATATTATATATTTAATATATATATATTAGCTGATATAATGATATAATATAATATATATTATATATAATAATAATAGTGTTTATTAACTTATTATCTTTCCCGGCCTTATTTATAAGGCCGGGTATTTAATTTATAAATATAATTAATCTTATAATATATCTATACTAATATATATATCTATAATATTAACCTACCGGCTCATTATATGAGCCGGTATGAGCTTATAAATAATATACCTTATATATTATTCATAATACTTCTATATCATATATAATTTAATATTATAATGATAATATTTTAGTTAGTTTATTATATTAATTGGGTTCACATTTATATGAATATAATATGTAATATAAATAGATATATTATATATATATTTTATTATTTACCCGGTTCATAAATGAACCGGGTTTTAAACAGCATTATATATATTGTAAGTATTAATAATGTATGACAAATTAATATATAATAATATTTATTAACTTATTATCTTTCCCGGTCTTATAAATAAGACCGGGTATACAATATTATATCTAATAATTATAAATCTTTAATATATAATATATACTTATTATATAAGTATCTATATTTATATTTTTATAATAATAATAATATATTGTATATAATATTTATTATAATGATTATAGAATTGATATCAATATGATTATTCCGGCTCTCATTTATGAGAGCCGGATAGGAATATATAATAATATTAAATATTATTAATAAGTTAATAATAAATTCACAATAAAATTATTAATATATAATAATATATTAGTAAATAAACATTAATTGATAAATACCCATTTATATAATTAACTGGTAATATTTATATACATATTCATAAATATATATGTGTCTTTATAATCTTACCCGGCCTTATTTATAAGGCCGGGTATTAATACATAATTATAATTAATGTTATACCTATACTAATATATATATATTAATAATATGATTCATAATATGAATTGGGTAAGATAATATAATATTTATAATACAATTAATATATAAATTATATAAATGATATAATGATAAATATATCACCGGCTCATTACATGAGCCGGTATAATTAATAAATATACATTTATTGACTATATAATCATTATATCTATATTTAAAATAAATAAATTAATTATTAAATTTATAGATAGTATCATATATTATTAATATATTAATACCGGTTCATTATATGAACCGGTATGCGTTAAGTTAAATATATATTGTTATATTTATATCTACTAAATTATTTATAATATAAATATAATTATTAATATAGTCTTATTTATTAGATGAAATATATTATATAATATAAATAATTATATTATATACAAATTAAGTGGACAAACATTTATTTGTTGGTTAACCCGGCTCATTATATGAGCCGGGTCTATACTGATTTATATATATTACTTTAATATTTAATATATCATTTATACATTTAATATATAATAGTTATTATATAAATACTTATATATTTAATATATTATATAATAATCTATAAGTATATTCCGGTTCATAATATGAACCGGGTAGTTATTATAATTATTAGTATAAATAATTATTAAATTATCTCTATCTGACCTTATAAATAAGACCGGATAATTATATTATTTAATATCAATCAATGTATATAAATTAATATATAATTATAAATATATATTTATTATATCATATATCTATTA